CGGGTGCTATTTACAGACACATTTTAATAATAATATAATATCGCTAATGTATCAATCGGATGCAATATATCAAGTGGAAATTGAATGTTTTGATCGGCATAACAAAAGACTCTCCCGGCGTGGAACGATTAATAATTTGATATCGTCGACAATTACAACTCTCAGTAGTAATGCAGAAGTTCACTAGTCGAGAAACGGTTCAAAGACGCTCGTCCGCTCGAGTGGAGTGACTCGGAATTTCTGCCATTGATATGTTTGTTTACTCAGACGACGACGTCTGTACACGAGAAAACCAAACGAATTTCATCGAGAATATCGTAAGCGCATTATTATTGCTATAATATTATGCGGTTTTCTGTTTGCCAAAGCAAAAACGATAACGGTAGGTATAGGGTTAAAAAATATAATATTAATGTCTAGATAAAAACGATCGTTTAAAAGGTGCATCTTTTTATCCATCTATTTAAATACAATGGTCGCCCCTGACAAATTAGTTGGCCATTTTTTTCGTGACGAGATTTTTAATTGTTTGCTTTCATGTATATATTATATAATTAAGTGGAAGAAGTGCCAATTTTTTTAAGCTTTTTCCTATAATAGCAGGTAACTTATTTTTTCGATTTCAATCCAAACGGATTTCTCGAGAATGTGGTACACTCATTATTATTACTAAATAATATGTGGACGGTTTTCGAACTCAAAAACGATTGCATATATGGTCTGCACCGTTTCATTAAATCTACTATTGCATAATATATCGTAGGTAGGGCTGAAAATATAATATTATTATAACCTGCAGTGTTATGTCTGGATAAAAATAATTATTTGAAGTACCAAGGCATCGTTTTATTAATTTGTTTAGATACAATGGTCGTCTCAGACAAATTATTTAGATGCTTTTTTTGTGAAAAGATTTTCAATTTAATTTTTACCTATTTGTTTATGTATATGTATAATTATATTATCATAATTTATAAATATTATATGTATATTATTTATTAAATTTTTTGTAGTGGAAGTGTGAATTTATTTAAGATATTTCCTATAAGAGGTAACTTAATTTTTTGATTTTAAACCAAACGAATTTCACGAGAATGTCTTATACTCATTATTATTAATAAAAAATATGTGGACTGTTTTCGAAAGCATAAATGATTGTAATGCCTGCGCTATTTTATTAAAATGACCATTAACTGTGCGCATCCTATCAATAGGGCTAAAAATATGAAATAAATATAACCAGTGTTATATTGTTCAAAAAAAAATTTTTGGGTATTTTAAGGTATTTTTTTCTGTCCGTCTATTTGAATGCATTAGTTATCTAATGAACATTGTTTAAATATTTTAGATTCTGAGCGGAGCGATGAATGTATTGGTTTTACAATGATGTATGTTTTTATATTTTTATTTATATTTTTATATATATTTTTATTTATATTTTTGTGTCTGTCATCACGTTTTGGGACAGTAAAAGTGCTTCGATTTTCTTCAATAGTACCTTTTCTGATAGGAAAGTGAATCTAGTTGGTACTTTGGGGGGTCAAAAGTATAAATTTCCCAATAGTTTTCACAAGCGCCGGGAAAAACAACATAAAAATTAAGGAAAAACGGGAATTTTTACGCAAAATCGATTTTCCAAAAAATCAAATTTGGATTTTGGTGTAACTTTAAAACAAATGACCGTAAATACATGAAATTTTCACTGGTTGTTTATATTTGCATTTTCTAAACACGATAACATTTTCAAAATATTTTGATTTATTTTGAACTGTTTAGGGACATTTTCATTTTTCATTTTTTTTTTCTAGAAATATCAATAAAATTTTATTTGTTGGTTGCGAAAGCTTGAAAATTTAATAGAAGGCTCCTAATATGTTGTTTCAAAGGCAGATGAAAAATATTAAAAATCCTTAGTCACAATTTTTTTTTATAAGCATTTAAAGTTCAAAAATTTACAAAATATGGAAAAATCACGAAAATTAGCAAATTATTTTGAGTTAAGAATTCGTAAAAATTTTTCTTTTTAAATCTAAGATTTGAAAATGAAACACAAGATTCCTTATAAGATTATCTACCTTTATCAATAAAAAAATCTCTACCGGACAGTCAAGTTAAATTTTTATGAGCGCTTGAAATTAAAATTTTTACAACATTGGATATTCACTCGATTTCTCATGTAGCGATTTCTTTATTTTGTTGCAATTCAAAAACGAACAACTGAAGATACATGAAAATTTCACTGAATGTTTAAATTATCATTTTCTATACACCATACAATTTTGAAAATATTTTGACTCTTTTTGAGCTGTTTAGGGACATTTTCAGTTTTCAATTTTTTTAGTTTTTTTTTTTATAATTGTCAATAAAATTTTATTTGGTGGGCCAAAAAGTCTGAAAATTGAATACAAGCTTTCTTATATATTGTTACAATATCAGTTGAAAAATTTTAAAAATACATAAGCACGATTTTTTTTTATAAGCATTTAAAGTTGGAATTTTGACAAAATTTATCAAAATCTCGAAAATAATCAATCGTTGGAATTAAAAAATTATAAAATGTTCAGTTTTTATAACTAAGAGTTGAAAATTTAAAACAAAGATTCTCTTAAATAATTCATACTGTAACCAAAAAATCTAAAAAATATATAAACACACTTATTTTTTACAGACATTTTAATTTCAAATTTGGACGAAATTACATATTAAAAAACCTAGAATAACTATTTTAGTTATTTTGTTGTGATTGAATAATATTATTCGTGGGTACTTGAAACTTCTAAAGTGTACTATTATATATCTATGATAGTATCACGGTTTTTGTTGATGTATAACGCGTTATAAGTATCTAATGGATATTGTGATATGATTAATTTGGAATTTATTATAGGTACCTATTATAGGTCAATTTTTTGTTTAATACCATAGATATGTATATAATATGTCTTATACTAGACTGACATACCGTCACCGCTCAGAATCGTTTTTCTTATACAATGATATTAGATCATTGAATTCAAATTTAATACCATCCATTATACAGTGACCCACTTGTAACCTACTGTACAGCAGAGCGACACCCACTTGCCCACCTTTTTTTTTTTTTATATTTTCAATTTAATTTTTACGTGTTTATGTCTTTTTGAAGTGGAATCGTTAATTCTTCAAGCTGTTTCCAACAAGCTATTCATTCGATTTTAAATTCAGTTAATTTTATGTATCTATTTTATTACCTAGGTTTACTTTACTGTAGTTATTTTGTACTGGTTTATTGTACTGCTCTGCACTAAGCACCGACAAATCGTATTTAACACACATTTTATTAACTAGTGTAAAAAATTAAACTTAATATAGTATATATATATATATATATAGGTATATCTTTAATTATATTCATTGAAAAAATGCTATTTTATAAATGCAAGTTTTGAATTGTTTAAAAACTATCTGGGGTTTTTTTTTCTAGATAAATGCGGTAATCATTATCTTATCTAGATAGGTAAGATTTATCTGCCTTGTTATTTAGATAATAATATTATATATTATTGTCTTTGTACAACACTGAATTTATAATGTATAGTAGTGTCTGGTTGTCGTCCGACGGTATTATCCGCACGCTTACAATAATAATAATAATATTATCATTGTGCACAAGACGTTAAAGACTGCCACAATACAGATTATTCACAAAATGTCGAATAATGCGTGATAACTATGTTTTGCCAAGTGAAACAAATAAACACGTTTGAACATAAGAAAATCCTCACACCGAGTATACCGTACTTAACGTGTTATTACAGTTGGAACGTATACTATTATTGTTTACGTAATATTATATCATAATGTTTTATTTTAATTTCGAATCTCGTGTTTGTATTCATATTAGAACAATCGTATCTAATGCACACGGTAAATAATTAATATTTTAGTCGAACAATTCAATTACCTAAATAAAATAGACTTGCTTTCACTTTATATTCTAAGCTCCTATAGAGCTTCAAGCCACACGAGTTTGGATTTAAGTTCCATGGTTTCATCCGCATGAACACCAAGCGGCTAGTGGTTATCAAAAATATCTAGTGAACCAATAAGACTGACTAAATATCGTTGCACACCAATTTTTTAGGGTTTCACTCTTTGTGGTATACCACAGATGTGTTAAGCGTCTAACCATGTAGTTTGTTATCAAGTAAGCAGCGTTCACTGTGAAGTACAAAAACATTGTGATATAATTTTCGTTTTGGATAGAATACATAAATATGTGTTGTACTCCATTGCAGACAGCAGCATAAACCTTTTTTGAATGCAGCTTTATGCAACAGTTAAATATTTATTCTATAATTTTATTTTAGAACAGTCCAAAAGTATATAAATGGAAATTTAGACCACAGTGTTAACAATAGTTACCAATTACTCAAAATCAATTATACATTTCTATTTCTAAACAGACATTTTCACTAATTAAATATGTTGTTAAAATTAAATTTAACTTGATTTAAGTTTAATTAATTTGGAACTTCATAAAGTTTATTAATTTTCACTTTTAAAAAAATAAAACTTTATAAAACTCTAATGCAATACTTTATTTGACAGTCTGACGTTGACTGATCTGAACACGATATAAATGGGCAATTTATTTTTAGTTACTATATATTTTTGAATACTGTAGTGGACATTAAATTTAAAATCGTTCGATTGATCTAAATACCAAAATACTAGAGTGAAGTTAATTGATTTACGATCAGTTTTTTTTTCATGATAAGCTGATATTAATGGTCAATCGTGGTATCTAATGGACAACGGTATGTATTAGCAAATATTTAAAGTTTGTAAAAAACAGATTTCCGAAAAGAAGTTTATTGTTTAACGAAATGTTCATGATGAACACACGAATCAGCGGAATACATACATTACCTATATAGTTTAATGGATTTCGGTAAAATGTTTTCAAAGTATGTCAATAATAATTATCGATGAAACATTTGTTGAAGTTTGTGACTTACAGCATTATTATGATTCCAAAATATGTAAGACGGCGGTTCCGGGCTATGTAGTACAACACATGTCAGGTTGATGGTACTTCCTCGATCAATGAATATTTCCGGTCCTCCAATAATGTCAGTACGAGGTTCTGAAACATGAAAAATTCAAAAATGTAAAATATTATGTAAATTCGAATCTAATACTAAATAAATTATTAAATTTTTTCCGTATCACGTTCACGTAAAGTAAGAGTTCATACGCATAGAAATAAATAAAAAAAAAACTGACAAATTGTCGAGCTAATAAAAATGGAACGTTGTAGGAAAATTGGATTGTTATCAACGGTATCACGCATACTCAAACTAATGGGTCACCTGAAACTGATTAAACGATTGAGTATTTTAACTACGAATTAAAATTGCATGATATATTATGATTTTTGAAAAGCTTAATTAAAGGTTTGATGATGGGGCTAACAAAAGATATCATCAAGCAAGGTTTATATACATAAATAAACTATGTATATCAGACTAAATGTAAGTACCCAAATCAATAGGTATATTGTAACTACTAAATATTAGGTAATAATATTAACTTCAGTTATTATTAGAATAATTAAATAACATGAAATTATATTTACAATTAATTGTACTAGCTTTTTGACATAAGGGAATATTATTTTTGAACTATATTATTTTATGTGCGCGCACGTAGCTATAATTATAAAATTATTACAAAATGCATTTTATGTTAAAAACCATAAAAACAAACCAATTTATTTAAAAAACATATATATATAAATATTATAATAGGTAAAACGCTTTACAATGTTATAAAAATTTAATTTATAATGTCTTTGGGTTGTGTTACTTGATTGGTAAATATGTGATATACAAGTAGTACATCGCATACAGTCAATACGTATTGTCTATTAGCTGTATCTTTGTTTTTTTTTTTAAATTTAAGATTCATATAAATGTGATAAAAACATATACGACATAAGAGCGTAAAAATAATAAAACTTTTACAATTTTACAAAAGATTACACAATGGGATCGTGTATGGTTATTGATTATACCCAAAAAGGTATTTCGATCGCTACGGTATTGTTTGAAAATATTAATAATGATTACAATTGTGTTTGCGTTCAATAATGATTCATCCAAGAAAACGCCAATGTAAATCATTTAAGCCATTTAACTTGGCTGAAAAATACGTAGATTGTTTTATTGCCATATATCCAGTCAAAAGTTTATTACATTTGTGCAAGGTTTACCGCCGATAGTTTTGAAAACTAATAATATTTTGCTATAGAATTTACGACCAAAATATTTGTTAAATGGTTTCCCAAGAGTACATTGAACGCGTCTTATGAACTTTTCGTGGGTAAATTATTTAAGAAATATCATGTTAATTCTTATTTAAATGTTTAGCGAGATAGGCTTAATATAAAACATAACTATATAATATATATATATATATATATAGATTATAGATAGACGTTTTAAATTTAAAGCGATGTTACTGTATGAATTAAAAATATTACGATTTATTCAAACGGAGCGTCCAGAGTTAAAAACTATTTTTAATTTTACCAAATGATCACATACTAATCAAAAGTATTTGAAGGTTTAATGTTAAATATATATTATGTAGGCTATAAAAATATGTGATAAAACACTATATTATTTAAAATATCTATCATTTTAATATTCGATCAAAATAAATCTAAAGGTTATTCCAAACACGACTCGTTTTTACCGACACGTCATTGAGAGTTTTTTCCCTGTAAAATAATTTATTTAACATTTTATCTCGTTGGGAGTAATGATTTAAAAATTATTGTTCTTCTAAAACCCGAAATAATACCACCAAAGTATACCTAAGGCCATATTATTGTTTCGGCAGCTTAATAAAGCTATAATGAACAAGGATAAATTATCCTATCAGAGAATACAACGGTCTTTATAACAAGGGAGGTGTGGCCCCATAACGGTCTTTGAGTTGACTTTTAAAGCAACACTTCTCGGTGTTGATGATATCCTGTGGCATTTCGAGCTTGTGGTCGCTTTGTAAATACAGTCACAAGTGAGGGTCATTCGAAGGCTAATGTCATAAGAGGGGTCATCCGTACGGGAAATTCTGAGAGTCATCATTTTGTACGACGGACGACATACTTTGGTGAGGGGGGAGGGCTGGTGAATTTTTAGCTTTGCGACCGAGCACTTCGGGGGTAAGTTGGAATTATAATATGTCTAGAATGTTACTCGTCGAGGGATTGACAAAATATTATTTCGGTTTATCGGTACAAGAAGTTTATAACGACAAAAATTGATAACATCATTCGCATAATATAATAATAATTATTACCATACGAGTTCACGCGAACGTGAATAATTGAAGAAGCTCAAAATGTATTTCAAGCTTGGAAAACAACGACGGCGTACACTTTAAAAAATAATGCGAAAAAGTAAACATCACGGTTCAACGGTTTTTTTAAGATGTTTTACCTGATAGCGTGTGGCCCCGAGGAAAAATGAGAATTCTCATTAGCCACGGTCACTTTTACATATTATGGCACTTTGCGTCGAAAAAGGTTGTAAAGTTGTGCGAGGATAATACGAAATCACGGCGGTCGTAAATTACTTTTATACAATTTTGACCTCCCAAAACGGAATAGGTACGGCCCGATATCGCAGACTTGCAGACGGTCTCGCAACGACATTATTTTCTAATTTATCTATTATAATATATTATATTCTATTATTATATCGCAGTATCCGATTATGTTTAGGTAAGATATCGAAATAATTTCATTTTTACTATACATAATTGATGTACACATAATAATAATATGTAATATAATATTATAATACAGTCAGTGTAGCGTCTTTCAATATAAATAAACATTATACAATTTTATACATAAAAAATTAAATAAATGTTTTCAAAGTCACATCAGGCTGATTTGCGGACGATAAAAAATAAATTTTTTGCCATATAATATGTAGGTAGGTATCATGGGTATAAATAATAATTATGACAAGGCTTTATTCCACGCTCGTGTTTAGTTGTGGGAAATACTTACAACATTATTATATTTTATATCAAACGACCACAAGTAAAACATAATATACTTAAATGATCAAACACGTACCACGTGTGTATTCTAATTTATTGACGAAATTCACACGATATAAGAATAACTGAATAAATGCATACGCAATAATCAGCAGGTGTGTAAACCTAGAATATTATGATGGCTAGACCATAAATCGAAATGGTTCTTGCCTTCATTTCAGTAAACAATTTGATGATAATCTAAAACGACATTGGCAAAAATGTATTTTAAATAAAACAACGAACGAATGTCAAGTGAAAAAAAAAACGAGACAAAAATATATTATACCATTCTACTTATATAATAAGCATCCTTATAATGAATCAACGGCTACGTAAATAGTTTGTTAAAGTTTTCATAATTAACAAAACTTTACATATTTGATAATAAGCAAATAAATTTAAGGCTGACGAAAAGTATTGGACAAGACGCTAACAATATTTATAACTAATTATATTAGTTTCGTATGGGACGAATTGCTTGTAAATATTATAACATATTATGATAACAACACGCAAGTGCCCCGATAGGAGAGTTGAAAGAGTCAATTCAGCTCATCCAACAGCATTTATTATTAGTTATTAATTTGTACACCAGTTAAAGTACTCGAATATAATAAACTGGACATGCTCGGCCACTGTCACGATAATCATCGAACCCGTTGATTGGCTACGTATGTATAGGTGCCTACCTACTAACTGCAGGCAATCGGTTTATGAAATTGATTTAGCAAATGGTTTAGAGTTTGCCGGCTGTCGGGTGTTGTAAGTAATTATAAGTTTAATTACGACCCAGGCATGACTGAAAAAGCTATTTGTTATTACGGGGACACCTCTGAGGGCGAACGCGTTCGCTCCGGAAAATAATATGTTATGCGAGGTGTGAAATATTTTATTTTTGTTATTATTATTACTTTAATGTACGATCGAGTATTAACCGTTTACGTTTGTGTTTCATCTAATTATCGCTTACCGAAGATCATAATAAAATGAATAGTAGTAATATAAATATTATTTAAACCGCATTTTTGAACCGTAAAATAAAATGGGAAAAAACACCTAATTACATAAAAGTTTTAATTTATAAAATATACTGCAGTATATCAGATAAAATTGAAAATGTTAAGAAAAATAAACTGTTTGACTTCAGCACGTGATATACTCGTTAAAGCTAATAATTTATAGCAGACCTTGTTTCAGTGTAGAGTTACAAAAACTTAAAAACTATAATGATTATAATACATAGACACAGGTTTCAGTAAAACTTTGTTAATTTAAAACCAAGGACAACAAAACTGATCTATTTCGGTGAATTGGAGGACTCAAAAAATATATACCCCGAATCGGGTAAATATATATATTTTTAAATCGTCGACATTTTTCATTTTCCGAAGTTCTAATACCTAATATTATCCAATCGGTTATTGCGAGCTATATTCAGCTGATTTTGCTCCAAAAAACATTTTTTAAGCAAATCTAAAGCTTGAAAACAACAATACTATCTATTATTTTTAATTCGTAAGCAGTTGCACTTTTTGACGATATGTAGTTGAAAATTACAATCTCTAATGTTCTGGTTAACGTAATAAAACGAATATTATACAATTGCTACAGGTTACCAAATATCAGGTGCTTACTGAAATAGGTACGTTTATCTATATACCCATTAAACAATTATAATTCAGTCGCTCGTAAAACGTTTGCACACATAATATTGTGTATAGTGCAGGTCTATTGTATTTATATGAATAACGAATAAAAATTATTACTACTTTTTACTAGGAAAAAAAACATTTTAAAGCCAAGGTACATTTTTTGTTGGACATCAGTTTAATTTTTTGGTTGTATAAAATATATATTATATAGACGTTATTACATTTTTATACATTTTACATTCTTATATTTGAACAGAAAGTTCTAGTTAAAATTTGTATGGTATATATTTAAGTTATTTAAGTAGAAATCTCTGTATCTCCTATTCTCCTCTACAAGCTTTCCTTTTTGGAGACATCATCATTTCAAAATTCT